CGTGTTGGGGAGGGTCTTTCCTACTAATATACTTAATAATATATATAGGCTGTAAATAGAATTCTGAGTAGTTTTCTTTCTCATTTTGTGGCTGTAGACATATTTTATGTATTGCTTGGGATTTACTTTAAAGTTTTCATTATCCCTTATTTTGTTGTAATAGATTATCTTAGCTTTGATTACACTGCTAAGTCCTTTATTTAAAATAGTGAAATCTATACTTATTGCTATCATAGTAACTACTGATTTTCCCACTTGCAATGTAAATAAAAGATTGTAAGCCATATCCCTATTTTAGTTTCTTATATATATCTTTGATTTTAGGTGTGCTTCTTGGAGTAACTTATTGAGTTTTTGATAATTTTCTTTTCAAAGGACTGTCTAGCTCATTTATATAGTAGATCATTTGTATGAGAGTTAAAGCATTATATACTAACAAACAAAAGGTTGACTTATAAAATGATCATTCAATTTCTAAATCAAATGGTAATACTTGAAGAACTTTTGCTTTAGTGTGAGACCACTTTTGTTGGACAGTGTGATCCTAAAGTGTACAAATCTCAATACAAGTGGTAAGGACTGGGTACTGTGGATTGTAATGGACAATCACATTCACATCATATTAGTCTTGCTGGTAATAACATTTGCTATAATTTATTGTCAGCTTGCACTTCTATTTTTATTTAAATAATATTCTCTTTCCCCTATCAGTTTAACGTATCCTTTATCTTTTTCCCACTTCCTACTTCTATTTTTTGTTATATACTTTGATAATGTATAAATATAACATTTATATTGTGTTCCTTAAACCTAATCCCCAGTTTGCTGTAGTCTTAGTTGCAAAGTTAATTATATTCAGAGATCCCTACCAGTGCTTTTGCTCTGGTTTGTTTGCCTATTATTTCCTGGTTGGCTAAAGTTTGAATTTTTTCCTTTATAGATAGTCATTTTAGTCAAATCTGTAGTTTTTTCCTTTGTGTAATGGAGCTTCAAAGTAAAATGCTTATGGAGACTAAGCATGAAACATAAATAGAGTGAAATTAGTCTGAATTTGTGGGTGGGTTGGACGCTGGTGGGCTGGAGCACCACAGGTACCTCTTTAAAGGGGCAGCCACATTGGTGGATTGTTGTCATATCAGAATGTGGGCCCAGTATTTTCAGAAATTGCAATTGTTCAGTAGAGGCTGAAGTCAGTATTTTTATGTAATGTCTCAACTTTTAAGTGGTAGCAGCTAATAATTAGTTTTTCGGGCAAAGCTTTAAAAACACTGAACCAAACAAAACATGTATGAGCCATCCATTTTCACCTGCTATACAGATTCTGCATTTGGTATCATGTTTTTACTTAATCCTCGCGTTGTTAAGATTAATTCAACTGTACTCTTACATAGTTTTTATTGTTTTTAAACAGTTAAATCTGTAATCCACATGGTACTTACTTTTCATAAGGTGTGAGCTAGCGTTCTATTTTGGATTTTTTTCCTCTGTTTTATTTTGGTGGATGTCACCCCCTTCTTCCACACCTTTAGTTTTTAAGACTTACAACTTCAAAAGAATAAGTTAATTTAGCTAAATTTTCATAGTAATTGACTGATGCCAACCTGGTCTTTGAAGATAATATTCTTGCAGATCCCTCTTTAAAAATTGATGCTTGTAATAATTTGTTAAATTTCAATTCAGTAATGTCATATTTGTCTTTCTACTAGCTGTAGTTTTATTATTCTTTAGAAAATAAACATTAAAATATTTTTGAGCTGAAAAGAGCTTGAGAAACGAGAAGCTTTTTGAGCTAACTTTGAAATTATGGGAAAAAACGTTGATTAAGCCAGGGAAAAGGCATTTATTGTTGTTGGTGGTAGTTTTGTTGCTGAAATAAAATAAGGTTTGATTTTGTTTTCCACAGTACTGTATGTTTCTGTCTTCTATACTGTTTTTACTACTTCCAAACTGATTTATTTTCTNGTTAGGGACTCATTTTTAGGAAAAGAGGACTTGGGCAGAAAGAGAACAACTATGCTTAAGATTTCAACAGCCTCCAAGACTGTGAATACTAATCAGAATGCTTCTCAAAATGTCACTGGAAAAAGAGGAAGACCACGAAAATTGAAACTGTCTAAGGCAGGGCGACCACCTAAAAATACAGGAAAATCTCTAACTTCTACAAAGAACACTCCTATGGGCCATGGGAGTACCTTTCCAGATGTGAAGCCTGATCTGGAAGACGTGGATGGTGTTCTGTTTGTTTCCTTTGAATCGAAGGTAAGATTGTCATTTCAGCATTGTTTCTAAGGCCAAATAGTCATTCTTGAATGTATATTGATTGATAACTGACTTAGAATCTAGTTTTTGTGAGTGCATCCATTATGTGAAGGTGTTTGCTTGGGGAGTTGAGTGTCTCCAAAATGTTTGGTTTAGTAAATAGGCATCACTTAAGATATTTTGTTTGAAAAATTATGTCTGCTATGATCTCAGTTCATGATTTTTTGCATTATGTGTAGCTGGAATTTAAAAAATCTTCAGATCTTATTGGAATTTTTATTATTATAGACTTTAAAAAGGTCTATAAAATAGATGTTTAGACCTTCATCTAAAAAATAAATGAAAAATTTACTAACTTTTGGGACACCCCATCCCCTGATTTTTGTCAGCAATAGCAGAGTACCATTGGAGAACCAAATATTAATAGTCTTATTTATTGTGCTGTCTTACATATCGATAGTTTAGTTTACTGTAATTCTTCAACTAGATTATTTTCTTTTAGATTTTTATAGAAGCCTCATTTATAGTTTTGAATTGGCTACATAGAGATTGAATTCTTTCTACCTGATCTTTTCTGCCCTTTTTGTTAATTGAATAAGCTACCTTTACATAGGCTTTAAGAAATTATTATGCAGGGCGGCCGGGTGGCTTAGTTGGTTAGAGCACGTGCTCTGAACAACAAGGTTGCCGGTTCAATTCCTGCATGGGATAGTGGGCTGCCCCCTCCCGGCCAACTAGATTGAAAATGGTGACTGGACTTGGAGCTGAGCTGCACCCTCCACAACTAGATTGAAGACATCTACTTGACTTGAGCTGATGGGTCCTGGAAAAGCAACACTGTTCCCAAAATAAAGTTAAAAAAAAAAATTAATGTTTAAAAAAGTCATTATGCAAATTGGCATAAATATAGTTTTAGATCAGTTAGTTGAGTATATTATATGCAGTTTTTTTTTTTGCTTTCCTTGTCCCTTCTGATGTAGAGCATTTAGAAAATATTGAAAAATATCAAAAAGAAAAAAAATGCTCCTGGTTTATGTTTAAACTTTTTAGAAGTGATATGAATTACATTTTTTTTTTT